CAACTGCACTCCAATAAACAACAGGTGCTTTAACTATATTTGTAAAATAAATCATGATTATAAGCTGAAGTGTAGCATACATGGATTAGCTTTTACTAGTCAACTCAATGATTTTAACACCCATTGCCAACATTTTTTTAGTAGGATATTAGAAAACATCCAGTAAAGAACCTGGATGATCAATATTAAGACTTTAATTTGCAGTTGAAGCCATCTGTACTCTAATTGTACATTCACAATCATTTACTATCTGATTACATTTTGCAAGCAATATTAAAGACCTCAAGGGAGACGTACTTAATGCAAATGTTTAACTCCAATTAATGCTGGTGGAAATTAAAAACATACATCCAAGAGATGTTAATGGGTTATGGTACTGTGAAACCTGAAAAGCAAAACCCTTGATTAAAACAAAATGTTCGAATGCACAACGGCAGGAGATGTTCTGTACATTTATTATTTAATTGCTTATTAGTGTTCATGATGTCTCATCATTCTGCAGTCCCCAAAACAACCAGTGACTGCTCTACACAGGTGCTGAAGCACTAAAGTTCAAAATCAGGGTTTACTACAGCAACAGAGGCACTTGCAGTGGCCTCAGCAGGCACGTCAGTCCTGAATCTCCACATTCTAACAAAGATCACAACACGAGATGTCTCCTCTGAAAACCTTTTCAGTGCCACCATGTAAAAAGGGATTCTGAAAAATCAGAAAAGCACGTTGTAAAACTCTTGATTTCACCTAAGTGCAAATGCAAACCATTCATCTGCCTGATGCTTTAATGTCTTTTCTTCCAAAAAAGGGAGGGTCCGAGGCTCGTTTATTAACCAGTACGATCCCTCCCTCTGTGCTGAAGGCTCCCTGAGCTGCCCCTCTCAGTGGATCTGAGGCTGTGGGAAGTTGTCCTGAAAGGGGAGACTAAACAAGAAAGAGCCTTATTTGAGACTTAGCAAGCAGGAGAACTATGGCCCCACGGCACTGACCTCCAGAAACCACCAAAGAGCATCAGCAGCAAATGAGCAGCACCTTGGAGCAGGAGTGGCAAGGTCACTGATGTGAGAGTTCCACAGGAACAGGCCATCACTGCACTCCTTTTTATGCAGCACCTACCCTGGGAGAGGCAGTAGAATCCTCACTGGCAGATTGGCTGATGTGCCAATCTTGCTTTCAGCTGCTGAACTTGCAGGGGTTTGGTGTCCAAAGCCGTGACAAGAGCAAGGTCCTGCCCCAGGGATGACATAACCAAAGAGCCCAGGACAGGCTGGCATGTCTGCACGGCTGTGGAACAGCGCTGCTCAAAGGGACCTGAGGGGACAGCTCAACATGAGTCAGGGGTGCCACGTGACACCAACACGGGCAAAGCTGTGTCAGGGGAGGTTTAGGATGGAATTAAGGAGAAGGTTCTTCACCCAGAGGGTGGTTGGGCACTGAACAGGCTCCCCGGGGAAGGGGTCACAGCACCGAGCCTGACAGAGCTCAAGGAGTGTTTGGATGACTCTCACAGGCACATGGTGGGATTCTTGGGGTGGTCCTTTGCAGGGCCAGGAGCTGAACTCAATGGTCCTTGTGGGTCCCTTCCAACTCAGGCAGGATATTCTGTGATTCCATGAAATCAGATCCTGGGCTGCATCCACAGACTCATTACCAGCAGAGACAGAGATCTGATCATTCCACTCTCCCCTGTGCTTGTCAGGCACAGCTGGAGGTGCTGTGTCCAGCTCTGGTCCCCACAGTTTACCAGACTGGAGAGGATCCAAAGGAGTGCCATGACCACGATCAAAGGGCTGGAGATCCTGCCTGATGAGGAAAGACTAAAGGAGTTTGATCTCTTCTGCCTGGAGAAAAGAAGGTTCAGGGGGGATCTCATCACAGTATTCCAGTACTTAAAGGGCTGCAACAAAGAGGACAGAGGATTTTTCCTCCCAAGGAGCCACAGGAAGAAGACCAAGGGCAATGAGTACCACTTGCAGTGAGAGAGGTTTCATTTTCTTACTGAAAGAAATTTAACTTTTTTCAGTAGAAACAATCACTCAGTGGAACAACCTCCCCAGGGACAGGGTGAAGTCCAAATTGCTGGAGGTTTTTGAGATGGGACTGAAATACCCTGAGAAAAAGAGGTCAGGGCAATGCCACGGAATTGCTTCCTTGGGTGAAAAAGTTTTGAAAAGAAAGGTAAAATGAGATATATTTATTTCATCTAATACAGGTATGACATTAGCTGCCACATCCACTAATGGGACCATATTACATATTCTTGCTGCTTCAGACTATATCAGCACTCAAAAGCAAAAAAACCACTTCATGTCAAAAATCAGTAGGTTCATTTCTTAGAACTAGTGTACTATTAAAGCAATTTAACCAGAATATAACTATCCCCTTTATTGTTTCCAAGCTGAAAAGCTTATCAAGTTGAAAGCAGAAAACACTTGAAGACTTTCTAAAGTGGTTTTGTTTCCCTTTGGTTTGTCAGCAGAACTTGATTTCCTTTGCTGTAAAACAATAATTTAACCAAAATATGGTGTACACATCGCCATGTAAGAAAAACAGTTCATTTGTTATTGCTGTTTTTAATTAAACACATGTCATTAGAATATTCTCATTAGTTTCAAAGTTTATTACATTTCTCAGCTTCTTTCAAAGGGAGTATCTGATTTCGTTTTGTATTTTCTTTTGTTTGTTAAACTTTGAAACAATAAAGGCTTTTAACAGTGACTGCACTGTGTATATACTTCAGAAGACAAATGCTTTACAGGATCAGAAGCAGTTCAGACATCTCTGTGGGCTAAATAAAAACCTAAAAGGAGAAACTTCACTGTAGAAATGTAAATCTCCTACGGTACCCACAGCACTGAAACAAATCCTAACTTGAACTGCATCAAAAAATGCAGTTTCCTTTTGTACCTATCAGGGAGTGAGAACACCAGTATTTGACAAGATTGGGAATAGGGTTTTCTTTAAATGAAAAAGCATGACAAGGTGCAGCTAAGAGATTAAATGTTGAAAATTTAATTGTGATCAATCATTCAACAAAATACTAAGAGAAATCAAGGAAGCATTTTAAGATGTTCCCATACGTGTACATTTTTACAAATTATCTAATTACCTAATTCTTTTTTTTTTTTATTTCCTATTCTTTGTCTTTTGAAATTGAAGCAGTGCTGCAGCAAAGTCACACTGAGCCAGGTAATCATCTGTACCTCTGCACACCCTAAATGATCATATTTCAATTTTCCTGCATGTGATACACACAAAGCAACAAAAAGAACTATCAGTATCTGTAACTTAATCCAGCATTTAAATGGACCTCTAATTTATTTCCAGTGGCAAAAGTACTGCACTGAAAAGCTTTATAATGAAATAAATAATCCTCTAGCAGAAAATGACTACTATTCCAAACAGGGCTTATAAAGTGTGGTTTTTTTTTTCATTATGGTTGAACTGTCCTTAAGAGAAGATGACTAATCAGACAGCTCATCATTCTGAGTTTAAGTTAAATCAGAATAGGATATTAAATCAGAACAGGAAAAAGGCAAAACCACAACAGTGCTCAGGGCACCGATAACTGTGGCAGCTGCCAGGCAGAACGTGTCTGAACTAAGTTCTCCCTGATCTCTCCTTTGTTTGAGAAGGAAATAAAACTAGTTTATCTCTTCTGAAAATCAATGTTATCATCTGTGAGGCTTTATTCTTCTTTTGAACATGAAACTGCGCCCCAGAGAACAAAGCTTTGCTCCTTCACAACTTTAAGCTAAAAAAGCTGATTGTTTCAAATACGAGACAGTAAAGTTCAGGTTTGCTCTCCTTCACCACAGAAGATTTTCTAATTAAAAAAAAAAAAAAAGAACAGAAAATATTGCAAATTATTCCTACCTATTTTCTTATTTCGTTCTTCCCCACGACTGTGAGCAATAATTGGAGAATAAATGAAGGGGCTTTTGGTGGACACATTCTGACCGAGTAAACTCTTCATTTTGTGAGGGCGGAGACTGGTTGGGAGATTCAGGAGCTTCACAGATCTGTTGAGTGAAAATAATTTTACATAGCTTTATTAATTCTATTCCACGAGAGATGGCTGTGTTCAAAATGAACTGATAAATATGAAATGCCAGTCTGAGATTAAAATACCTGAAATGGAAAACTTGAAGTAAATACCCACAATAGAAATGAGGAAAAAAAACAAAACAAAACAAAACAAGCAAACAGGACCAGGGATTTGAAATCCAGCTCTTAATTTACAAGTGCAGACTGAACAACAGATACACCACGACTCCGGTGCAGAAAGCAGCCAAGTATTTAACTCAAACCCAAACAAGAATCCAGACAAGATTTCTCTGGACAACATAATACAAATAAAGAACTTCTCCAAGGTGAATAAAACTGATTTTAAAACAGTGAAATTGCACAGAGTTGCTGCTGGAAGGAAGGAAATGTTCCAGAAATTTGAGTGGGTTTGCTGAACAGCCAGAAAGCAATTACAAATAGACAGAAAACAAATGATTTATTAGACTATATCCCCGTTAGACCCAATTCCCTACAACATCATGCAGGGAAATCACTGGTCTTGTAGTGCTGAGGGGAAATTAAAGACTAAATTTTGGGCAGAGGAACATATTCAGTAAAAGCAACAGTTTTATAAAAACCTGTAAGACATCTAATTACTTTGAGTCAGGAACTCAGCCTAATAAAGAACTGATATATCAGTATCACTCTAATAGAAAGTACACAAAAAACCCAAGATAATGTGTTTCTGCTGAAAAATAATGAAGCTGTAAGAGTAACACTACACAGATACGTTATCTCAGTGATCTAAAACACTTGATAAGGAGTTATTGAATAACACTAAAAGTATTTTGGAACAAGGAATAAATCACATCCATATATTATGTGCTGGTGATACTGAGTGTCAGCATCCCAATCAAATGCAAAATCACAGACAGTGAGACTGAGGAATAAAGAGGAACTATGACAGATCCCTCATATTTCATATTTTAAAACCTCTTCTGATAGATTTTTGCTAAAAAATAGAGTGCAACCTAAAGTAAAAATGTGAATTACACGATTTGAGGGAAAAACATTAAATTTCATAAAGCGCTTATAGAAAGTTTTATTTTTACATAGACAGAGAAGTCCTTTGGCTTCTCCACCATTATTATAAAAATACTGGTGGATAACCTGCTTTATTTTAGTGCATGACAGTGGAAGGAATGTTCTTCAACCACATATTAGAGAGATGTACCCTCAACGGGTTGTATTTAATTCCTTTTGTGAAAAGCTTCAGTCATGTCCCCTGGCCTGGCCCAACTGAATGCAAATGAGTGACAATTAAGAATTATAAACTAATATCACTATCTACCCGGAAGATACAAAACCTTGAATTTGGAAATGATTGATTAAAAACAACCTTGCTTAGAGGTGAAAGGAAAAGAATGAAAAACAAAAAACACTCTACTAAAGTAAACAGAGGGAAGGGGGGAAAGGGCACCGAGTAAATTTAAAGTAGTAAGAAAAGTATATAAGGGCAACTAAAAGCATCAGTGGTGAAAAGGAAGAAAATCCTTTCTTTCTGCTCTGAAGTATATTAGTAAGAAAATTAGCTTTAACACAAGTAAATTATGAAAATGGGAACAGTGCACCTAGTAGAACAGAAAGACCATAAATTCTTCTATTTTTTTATCTGAGAAAATACTAAATGATGATTTCATAACTAAAATGAGTCATGGAATATAAAGAAGCCAAATCTCTACTGCTGCTTTTCAAATATGGAGAAGCGAAGGTAACAGTGCCACTATGTCCAAATTTCACTGTGGCATTTCGATGTCTGACAGTATTCTGATTCAAAAATCTGCACCCAAAAAAAAGCACCCCCCATTAAATGGATTAAAAACTCGTAGACCATGAAATGCCAACAGTAAATAAAAGTCATCACCATCAACAAATGTGTGTTTCTAGGGGGCTCTAGCCCGGATTGAATCACTTGCTGAGGTTGTTCAACACTGATCCAAGCCACGTTTCCACACATCTGTAATTTACATCACGAACGTGAGCACAGTTCAGCTCAGAGAGCTCTGCAGTCCCGCAGCACAGCTGGTTCCCAACTGGCTGGAACAGCTCTACAACACACCAGGTCTGCTGTGGGGGGAGGAACCAGAGGCCTCATATCCAAACACAACTAATATTTTATTGGAGCATGAATCTTAATCACTGTGGGTTTTATAGCAGTTTCAAAAGGCAGGAAGAAGGGGGAGGAGGAGACGAGCACAAACAGCTCCAAACTGTTCAATAATGTCGATGCTAAACAATGTTGATGTTGGGTAAATATTCCCAACATTCCAAGCACAGCCAGGTCAGCACAAGCTGACAGTGTAAATGAAGCCCCTGGATGGTGGGGAAATGCCTAAAGCCAGGCCCAGGAATAACAAATAACTCCAATGTGTTTGTCCCATTCTCTCAGCATACAAAACATTTCACATGAGACAGAGCCCTTCCCACTGAAATCTTGGGAATCTGCTGCCAAAGTTTTGACTGGCCTCTCCTTCCAGGTAACAAGCAACAGGATAAGAGGAAAAGGCCTCAGGCTGTGCCAGGGGAGGTTTACATTGGATAACAGGAAACTTTTCTTCAGGGAAGGGGCTGTCAAACATGGGAACAGGCTGCCCAGGGAAGTGGTGGAGTCACCATCCCTGGAAGTGTTCAAAGAAAAAACCTGAGACTAATTCAGGGTTTAAAACCTCACAGACAAACACAACACTGCTGCTTCAGCACCAATTAAGGGTCAGATTCATCAGGGACCTTCTGCAGCTGTTTGACAGCCCAGATACCACCCCCAGTCAGATTAAGGAAGGTAGTTTTGGTTTTATACTCTGAAATAAGAGCAGAGATCTGCAAGAGGCACTGAGAAGATGACAGCACTCTTGCTCTCAAAGTATTTTTCCTTAAAAAAGTTTTTGTGGAAGCTTCTGCTCAAACTTCTCTCCACAGTCACATAACCCAAATACTAGAAAGGATTCTTGGAAGTTTGCTTAATTAGCTTCCATTTTTTAATACTATTTAACTTCTATTTAAAAAAAAAAAAAAAAAAAAAAAGGCCAGAATAACATTTGCACAAATTTTGTTTCAATAAATTTTCAGAACAAATAGAGGCCTCTTTCATGTACTGAGGTGGGAACCTGCCTTCAGAGTGTATTTACCGTATTTACCAGGGAACTCATCTAACCCACAGACACCGTGGCCTGCACTTGTCACTGGACACCTGTGAGGCCGATGCAAAATATGTCAACACAGTCCACATACACTTGTCATTTGACTCATCCTAAAGCAGATACCTAAATTAGGTTAGAGAAACCTAGAGGTGACTACCCATGTGTTTTCACTGCAAACATGATCCAGCACAGTCAAATATCACTTGTCTAGCTCTGTATGTAGATTTTTGGTGGAACTAATCAACCTCCAGGTCAGCTGATAAAGCAGTCAACCAAGTGAAGTTAGAGAGAACATAGTAAAACCAGTTGTATCATGAGAAATGGTCACAGTAAAATATTAATTTTAGAGACTAAAAGTAATCTGAAAATAAATATAATTTTCACTCTTTGGTTATGTACTGTATTATCCCTTTGTGGTACCAGAACTCTTGCTTTGTGAAATGTTTGATGACATCCCACTGCAAACCGAAATTTCTAAGAACTATTTCAGTCACTTCTACCATTTTTTTTCCTGAATAGCAATTATCTTTCCTTCAAAAGGGAAAGATTTCCTTTTAGTCTCCTATTATTGATGCCCAGTGGCTGCTTTCTCTCTCTCTGACTCTCTCTAATGCTTCGTGCTGGGCTTTAATCTCAACAAGTTCCTATTCACTGGGCTGGCTGTGTGATGTGCCTGGGCACGTGGGCACAGAGAGGAACTGAGATGTGCAACAGGGAAGGTGCCAGCTGGAAAATGCAGCATCTGGAAAGGAAGAGCTCCAAAAGGCAGCAGTTCCAGCTGAGTTCCAAGCTCCGTGAACGGA